TCTTATTGTTCGCGAGTCTCGGTGGCCGTCGCCTGCGGCCCGGCGGGCTGCAGATCCATTCACCCGGCTGCCCGGCGTCCCGCGCACCTGCCCGGCGCCCCCACCCCGCCCGCCCGCCCGCCATCTGTCGTCTGAGCGCCATTGTAAGCAGCCGCGCCTGGCGTCCTGGACGACACCCAAGGGGACCCGGAGCTGAGGCCCGACCGGAGGCAAACAAGGAGGGTTTATTCTAGTCCCCGTTTGGAGGTGACCTTGAACAAAATAGCCAAGCCTGGAGCATCCGCCCGCTCCCCCGCCCTCCAGGGTTTCTTTAGGACCTTCTCCTGCACGGGGACCCGGGGGTCGGCCATCTGAGCCGGATCCTCCAGTTGAGGACGTCTGGGGTGTTCTTCTTTCCGGGAGGAGCCCTGCAGCGGGCAGATCGCGCCACTTGGCTTCCCGAAGAGCCCCCCCACCCCACCCCGGGAGCCCGTTTCGAATGCAGATGTGGGTTTTGTCTCCCGGGAGCCGGATCCTCTGAGTTCATCCCGATTGTCCGCGCCTCTTCGGATGCTGGGCTGAAAGGAGAGCTTCTCTTTCCTGCAGTTGCAAATGCAGCCCTTTCAAGCCACCCCCCCACCCCCACCCCCACCCCCGCCCCAGCCAGTCTGCGGCCTCAGCAGTCTGCATTTTGCCCATATTTGTTTTCTCTCTCACGTCCTTCCTATCAAGCGCTTGGCCATATTCTGACAAAGCTATGTCTTTGTCGTCGCGAGGTCGCGGTGAGCTTGCCTTTACATACAGACCATAGCCGTGCGCCTCCAGGATTCTACTCCGACCTCCCTCCCAGGCATCTCCCCCTCCTAGGCATCTCCCATCCCAGTGTAAGACTTGCATGGGTTCCCACTACCCGCTGCCCCCATGCACAACAGGGACATCAACTCTCCTGAGGGAAAACAAAGGGTCAAATACCCTAATACAGGAGGCGCCCACGGGCAGATGTGAACCTTATCTCTTTGTGCTTGTAAAACAAAAGCAATCCACACTCAATTTGGATTGCTATCACCCACTAGCATTTCCCTGCTAAGACAGGTGTCAGGCGGTCTGGGGCAGGATTTGAAGCTGGTCTTTCTGGGGTGACACCCCAATGCAGCTGTAGCTCCCTTTCTGTTGTCTCTTGACTGTTGCCCTGAGAAGGGAGGGCGAGACCCTAGAGGTTCCAGGAATTGCTGGGCTCTGCCAGTCAGACTGGGTCCCTCTGCCTCTTGGACTGGATTCCAGTTTACAGTTCTCTGCTGGGGAAAGTCCTGCAAGGGTCGTCATGGCTCTGGAACTCAGAACCAGGAATGCAGGAAACTTGAGTCCCTATTACAGTGCAGATCCCTCTTGGACAGAGTTGGGGAAAACAAGGAAAAAGAGAAGTGGATCTTTGAATCCCTCTTCCCATTGCCTTCAATTCACAAATGGTGTGTTTGTGAGTGTGTGTGCGCAGTAGTACATGTAAATAACACACACACACACACACACACAGCTAAATTAAAAGGAGCATAACGATTCAGTGAAAAAGCAAGTCTCCCTCCAGCCTAGGTGTCGTTTTTTTTTTCCTTTTCTGTTACGGGGTGGCTCCAGGGGGCCTTACACTTCCATCTCAGGTTCTGTGCTCCTTTATTATTGTTTCCAGCTGTGGGAGCCTCATCAAGACTCACCACTTGCCCTCCATAGTAAAGCAAGGGTAAGAGGCTACTGCAGAGGCTTTAGGACTGAGAAAGTGTTAAATGTGTTCCAGGCCAACAGAAGTGCTGTTAACCACTCTGTGAGCCAAAGTACTCTTATCTGTCCCCTCCTCTTGTCTGGCAGGGATTGAGGAGATAGGATTGAAAGGTCTTGGGTAAAAAAAGGAAAGGTTTGGCAGGTGGCAGGTTCTTAGAAAGTGCCCACTCCTAATCCCAGCTACTCAGGAGGCTGAGGAATGAGGATAGCAAGTTTGAGGCCAGCCTGGTGACTTAGCAAGATCCTGTCTTGAAATAAAAAGGGGTAAGGATGTGGCTCATTCATTGAGTCCCCCTGAGTTTAATCCCCAGTACAAAAAAAAAAAAAAAAAAGGAAAGAAAGTAGAGGCAAGCTGGAGTTGAGGGGGGAGATAGAGATGGAGCTCTGGAGGAATGTCAGTTGGGTTATGCTTTATAACAAACAGCTGCAAAACATGCACAGTAACAAGCACTTCTCTCTTGCTCTGCCTTTGCAGGCTGCTGCAGGTTATGGGTCTGTGAGATGGCTGGGGTGGTTCTGTCCCCTGTGTCTTATTTGGGAGCTGGAATAAGAGGCTCAGCTCTCTAGGGGATTTTCTGGCAATGGCTGAACTGTGAGATGCCAAAGCAAGCTGTACAAGTGTAATACTTGCCTAGTGTTCTACGGGTCAAATAAGTCATATGACCCAATCCAGAGTCAGAGGGGATCAGTCCATCTGCCATGAAATAGTGGCAAAGTTGTATACTACCAGGGAACAAAGATTTGGAAGCAATTTTTCCATCTCTTTATATTATTTTTTCAGATGATGGCATCCATCTCTACATCCTTAAATACTGTTGATATAGCTTGGTTCTTGAATGTCCCACAAAGGCCCATATGTTAAAGGCTTGATCGATCTCCAAGGTGGCTCTGTTGGGAGGTAAGACCTATTGAGAGGTATAATTTGGGATGTGCCCTTGAAGGAGACTGTGAGACTTCAACCTCTCCTAGTGCTTTCTTTTGCTTCTGGATAATGAGGCAAGCAGTTTTACTCCACCACATACCTGCCAGGTGGAAAAGCAGTGGGTCTGCCCATCATGGACTGGAAAATTCTAAAACCATGAGCCCAAAACACCTTTTGTCTTTGTAAGTTAATTTTCTCAGGTATTTTGTTATAGTGGGGGAAAAGCTAACACACCTACTTGCTAAGATTCCCTAATGTACATTCCAGCCTATAATTAACCTGGAAGATGCAAATAGCCTACAATTCCCACTCCCCACAATAGCTCCATGTGCACATCTCAGACTTCTCCAGATAGAAATCTCGACTTCCTGTCCCTAACCCAAGTCTGATTTCAGCAGTGGTCCCTCCTTCTACCTTCTTGTTCAAAGTAGAGGCAGAGGGTTACTTCCTCCAAAATGTGCCTTTCCTTGGTCCAAGCCCCCCAGCATGTCACACCTGAATAACTGCCATTTTCATATCTATGCCCCCTGCTTCTGCCCTACTCCCTTCAGTCTCTTCTCAATACAGCCACACTGGCTACTCATAAGTTATAAGTCAGATCATGTCCCTCCTCAGCTCCCATCTCAGAGAAAAGTTCCTTATAATGCAGCTAGAAGACCCAGAATTGTCCCGGACTTGGATGTCATTCCTTAGTTCTCAGTCCTCACACATCTGTTCCAGTCTTGCTGCCTCCCTTATTGCTCTGCAAATACCACCATGTGCCCCTGACCCCAGGGCCTTTGCTTTAACCATTCCTTCTACCTGGAATGCTCTTCCTCAAATATCTGCAGTGCCACTGTCCCTGCTTCGCTTCTATAGGAAAATCTTCCTTAGCCACCTTATTATCCAAAACCTCACCCAACCCAAACTTCCAGACCCCCTTTCTTATCACCATCAAACACATGAAACAATTTGTTAGCTTTTTTTCCTTATTTTCTGTCTCTAGTGTGGATAGAGCCCTTTCCATGTATAGTAGCCATCCGAAATGACCATGTCCTAAGGAATCTCTGGAAACCTGGGATGGCTGGTTATCAAGAAGGCAGAGATTTTTCTGTTTTGGTCACTATTCTACACCTATCCCTGGTGCTTACTGGCACTCAGTAAGGAGTGGTTGAATGAATGAATGAACAGTTAGAATGATCATCTAACCATTGTAAATCAGAACATATCCCTGCTACGCTAAAAACTGTTCAGTGGCTCCAAGTTACTGTTTGGATATGAGGTAGTCCCCCAGAAGTTCATGTGGGAGACAATGCAGGTGTGTTCAAAGCGATGGGGTTTATGAGAACTGTAACCAAGTGGATTGATCCACTTGAGTGGATTAACTGGGTGGTGACTGTAAGCAGGTAGGGTGTGGCTGGAGGAAGCCTTTGGCATTTACTTGTATTTCTGGTACCTCTTTCTCTCTCTCTCTCTCTCTCTCTCTCTCTC